CGGCCTCACCAGCCCACCCCAGGCATTGTGGGGTGAAGCATCCCCAGGGGAACCCTTCCCCTGCATCCCACCCTGGGTGCTGGGTGGTGGAAGTGATCCCTGCACACCCTTGCTGGGTTGAATTCCACAGGGTGCCCCTGGTCAGGGAGACGATTTCGCCAAATCCCATCCTGCTGCAGTGTAATGAATGGAAAAGGGAGGAATCCATAAGCATGGTGTAAAGGAGAGGGTGTAACCAGCAGGACATAAATCACAAAGAAAGTGATAAAGGGAGCCTCTCGACAGGAGGGGCTGGCAGCAGAGGGAGGGATGGTGACAGCATCATGAGGCCAAAAGAAATTCTGGCACAGCGATAAATCCTGGAGCGGCTGGAGCCACTCGGGCACTAATGATCAGGCGAAAACACCAGCCACGTTTAACAAATATTTCTGCTCTGTATTTGGAGAGAAGCAGGACGACAAGCTTGAATCGTACAAGAGTGATGAAACCATCTATTAATTACTGCCGGGAATGTTAAACAACATCTGCCAGCTCAGCGGGCCCAGGTACCGCCCGCCCTGGCCTCCTCCAAGAACTGGAGGAGAATTTGGCCTCCTCATTAATTTCCTGTGAAATCTTGGAATAACAAGAAAATCCTGGCCGGCCGATGGAGGGCCCACCCGTGCTGGGAGTGGCAGGGACACAGGGGTGCTCAGTCCTCATTTTGTCTCTGCTGGGATTTGTATCACATTCCCACCCAGTTAGATCCTCCCTGGTGAAGAACAGCCATAAATTGGCAAAGGTTGGGCGTTTGTTTTCCATAACATGGTGTATAGATTTTCTTTCACACAAGTGTTTTCGGAGGCTGTAAGAAAGCAAGGTCTGAGAGGGGCAACAAGGTCCTTAAGGCATCTCTCATCACAGCTTTGGGAGGGACTGCCATCTTCCCCTGCATCTCCCATGTGCTGTGCAGTGCCTGGAACCAGAAAAATGGAGGGGATGGAGGGACAGAATGGAGAGAGGGTTAGGGGGATGAAGGGGATGAGATATGGAGGGGATGGAGGGACAGAGGGGAAGGAGTGGAGGAGGAAGAAGAAATAGAAGAAGACAAACATGAAGAAGAGGAGGAGAAGGAACAAGAGGAGGGAGAGGAGGAGAAAGGGAGTCCCATCAGGAGAAGAGAACCCTACAGCACCAGGGCAAGCCCCAGCTGTGGCACAGCCCTGCTGCACCCCATTATTAGCAGTCCAGGCAGCTCCTTCATTTTAGGAGGTGTAAGTCACCTCCTCCATTGAGGCACCTGAGCAGCAAAGGTGGCTGGGAAGGGCACAGCAGACTTCGACAGCAGCAAAACAGGTGGCTCAGCAGCAGAAAGACACTAATTAACAAATTAACTCTGCACAGTATGCACAGACCATGGTAAGTGGAGAAGGACCTGACAGAGTGACGATCCCACCAAGAAGTCCCCAGATGGCACCAGGGCTGGTGCCTCCCTTTCCTGCCAGGCTCTTGAGCCAAACCCTCACTGGTCCCCAGGGCCATGGAAACAGGGAGGTCCAAGAAATTCAGGTTGGATTCTGGGCAAGGAGAGCTGGGGTATAGGTGCAGCTGGCCGGGTCACATCGCTCAGCAAAGCCTGCCCCAACACGGGGGAGCTGGGAGGGACCCTCAGCAGGGGCCGGGGGTGACGGGGCTGGGGGCACAGCCACTGCGGGGACACTCTGGCTGTGGGGACACAGGTGGGGAGGCACGGCTGGGTTGGTGCTGGATCCTGCTGGAGAGGCTTTCCATCTCTTGGTCCCTAAGCATCCCGAGGGGATGGGTTTAAGGAAGACTGTCTTTGGTGAAAAATCAAGAGATTTAATACAAGCAGCTGCCTCTGCAAGATGCTGGGTCACGTGTGGATTATTTTTCCCAGCCTTCTTCTACACAAAAAGAGGCTAGAATTTACTCCCTATAAAAGCCCAAACCCAAACCGGGTTGCAAAATATTGGAGTGCTTTAAGACAAGAATAAAGCTTGGGAGGAAGGGATGCCTGGGGTGCCCCCTCCCAGCCCTGGATTGCCTCACACAGCCACAGGGTGCAGAGGGATTGGACAGGTTTGGGGATGCCCAGGAGGGACAGGGGTAACAAGTGTCAGTAGGACGGTGCCACACAGCCACCCCAGCCCACAGCACCTCATTCCTCATGGCCCCCCGAGGTTCCAGCTGAGCCACTTGGGAGCCTGGGACAGGTAGTTAAAATACGGAAATGTCAACTTAAATTAAAACATGTTTCATAAAGGAGAGAGATAAAACCTTCCCTGCAGCACAATGTGCTGAGGGATTTACGGTACAGGGAGGACTGGTGCCCCCACTTCAGTGGGTTCTGGGTGGGGGGCTGGCTCAGCTGCTGCTGTTGGCACTGTGTGGCATCCCAAGGCATCGTGCTGGGGTGCTGGAGCACCCGCTGCCTCCCCACCCTGGCCATCACAGAGGCCAGAGCTGGGTCTGCAACGAAATGTCAGCTCGATAATAAAATGTGCAGGAGCTACGTTTTCTTGGGGCCAATAAAACTCCTGCAGCAGCGGGGATGCTTGGTATGGAGCTGCCCTCCCACACCAGCTCGGCCCCCTCCTCATCTCCCTGGGGGACACGGGTGCCCGTCTGACCCCACGCTCATCCTGCCAGCTCCCCAAACAGCGGGTGCTGGGCACAGGCCCCAGAGCTGCAAGTGCCACAGCGGGGAGTAAATCCACTGCGTCCTGTCAAGGTAAAGTGACAAAACATCATCCTGCAATGCAGGAACCACAGTTATAACAAGAGAAAATCAATGCAATATATTACCAGGGATATAAAGACGCCATTAATGCTTCAGCATGGGGCCCAGCAGCTTCACCTGCCATCAGCAGGGCAGGTTTGCATGAGGACTCCCCACACTCCCATCTGGCTGCCGGGGTCACCCACATGCTGGGGCTCAGCTCTGTGTTTATTCACTGACACTCCCCCCAGCACAGCTTTCCTGCTCCACCCACCAAATCCTGGGCTTTGGCCCTGCCAGGTGCCTGGGCTGCAGCTGGAGATGTGGCCAGGACTGCCAGGGACGGAGCGGTGCGTGGCCTCAGCAAGCACCTTTCCGAGGTGCAAGGATCCAGTGAAGCTGCAGCCCCAGGCCAGGCAGGTGCCACCCCTCGTTCTGGGGCTCCCCACACCTGCACAGCTCTGCCACCCACCCACCTGCACTCAGGCACCTCCTGGGAACGATTGAAGAGGATGACAACCCCCATGCACCACAGAGGGAACCTGCAGGACACCTCTAAGGTGCAGTGCTCCCCCTGGCATGGTGGCTGCAGGCAGGAGAAGTCTGTGTCCTGGGGACATGCACTGGGGACACGTGTTAGGGACATGGATGCCACTCCCTACGATGGACAGTTTGGATTATTACTCAGAAGTTGAGCCAAGCCTTTTCTAATTGATTAATCAATAGCTTTAATTGAGTTGAGACTGTAGTGGGTAACTTCATTACTGCTTTCCTCTTGGCTGGCACCGCCCTGACCTCCCACCGAAAACCTGTTGCTGTGGCTGGCCTCTGCCCAGCCGTGCTCTCCCAAAGAGAGCACTCCAAACACTGCGAATTCCTGGGGCTTGCAGTTGGCTGGGGCTGCAGAGGGCTTCTGCAGCAGTCACAGAGGAGCCGGACCATGCAGGGCAGGCAGGTTGGAGTCCCCACGAACAGGGTGAGTCCAAGGGGCTGCAAAATGTCCACGGCTCACGGTGCCCGTTCTGCCAGCCACGGCACAGCCCCTGGGCATGGGCTGGACCCAGCACACACCCCACCCGTGCCGCCTGCGAACGCGCCTGGAGGCACACGGAGCACCGGGATGGGGAGTGGGAACACGGGGATGAGCACAGGCACCGCCGGGGTCAGACTCCCGCACGCCGGAGCCACAGCTCTGCAGGAGCGGAGATGAACATTTTATGGTAAAATATGCAGAGCATGGGACAAAGGAGAGAGCGTCTCTTGCATAATGAGACACTGTCAGAGACAAGCTCCCCAGGAAACCAATTAACAGGGCGCTCTGCGTGTGTCGAGCCAACACTTGGCAAAAACACCTCTCCCGGAGCGGGCGCGGGCCGCGCTGTGCCCCCCGCACGCCCCCGTCCCGCAGCCCCTCCGGCGAGGGCAGGACCCCCACGCGTGTCACAGGCAGCGCGGGGCCGCTCACCCGCGGGCACGGGCCGGAGGGCAGGGCGCCGGGGCCGAGAGCCGCAGGGGAGCGGCTGAGCCCGGCTCTGCCCCGCTGACGGGGCCGCTCCCCGCAGCGCCGCGGCCGGGCCGGGGCTGCCCGGGCGGGAGGCGGGAGCACCGCCCCGGCCCGCCCGCCGCCCGCCCCCGG